GGGAGGGGGAATGGAGGAAAAAGACAATGTTAAAAATACGGAATTCTTGTGCCGTGGGGACATTCAGTTCACGAATTCTTTTTTTTTTCTTTTTTATTCGTATTTCGTTGGATGTTGCTGGTGTTTGTGCAGCTGGAAAACAGAACCTCCTCGACTGGGTGATACTAAAAAAAGAAAGGGGACAGGAGGAAATATGGTTAAATATTGGGAATACGTTTATCTTCGAATGCGATTAAAAGTTTGATGAATGCTCTGTACCGAAGGGAGAGATTAAAGGGCGAATTCCGTGGTGTGTATATATATATATCTAATCCGGTGATGGACGTGGATAGTGCACTCGTGAAAGGGAAAAAAAGGATTGCTTGTCGATTAAATCGATGCGAACTGTTTTATCGTGGAATTTATGATTTTTTTTTATTTATTGACTTCAATGGAAATTGTTCTAGAATTAAAATATGAATATAGAATTGGATGAATTAAGATATAATATCTTGGACTTTAAGATTTTGAATCTTTTGAATATGGGATAAAGAGGAAATTGAATAAATTAATTAATTCCAATTTTCTAAATATATTTGAACAAGAAAGAATTTATTTTAAAAAAAAATTAATATTAGTAATATTATTAATACAATTGGTTGTAATAAGATTATCAAAGTTCTAATAATAAATTTTATAAATCATAAATGATTGTGAAGAAATTGAAAAGTAATTAGTAAATTGTCATTCTATGAAATTATTCTGAAATTAATTAAAAGTATTCTGGAACAAGATGAAGAATTCAAAGAAAATTCTACCCACGATTCTATTTAAAAAAAATAAAATTTGCACATGGCCGTTGAAGAATTAAAGTACTCTTCAAACAATCAGCAGTAACAATAAAGAATAAAGAGTCGAACAGCAACATCATTCATTCTACAATTAAACATTCTCACACAATATTTCTCCATCGTGGAAAACTGTCGAGCCCTCTCCAAACTCTTAATTTCCTCTGTAAACCATTATCAAACATCGACGAATTATTCAAATTATAAGGTGTACACTTTCGATATACACTCTTTAGCAAATATCCTACAAAAGCTGATTCATGAT